AAAAATGGACAATATGGGAAGAGAAGATACGCCCCTATTCGAGCCTCGCGGCTCGTTTTTACACTTATCGATTGTCAACAACTGTTAACCTTTTAGGCACGACGCGCCACTATAGTGGCTTTCGCGAATGTCATCTCTCTGGACGACGCGCCACTATAGTGGCTTGCTCTAGTAGCTCACTCGCTTATCGTTTGAATCAAATAATCGTCTTCATATGCATTGTTTCACACTTCTTTTGTCTTCACATCGATTTACAACAGTCTACAGGGTGTCCCAAAAATGTCTCGCAATCCGGAAATGGCGGGTTCCTCGGATCATTTGAAGCAACGTCTTCCTTTACAAAAATGTTCTCCGAGGCACCGTTAACGAGTTATTAACGAAAAACACTGACCAATAAGAGGCGAGATCAGCTGCCGCGAGGTGGCCGAGCCAACGGCGCTAGCGGTCGAGCGGTCGAACCCCAGCTTACCTGGCGCGAGGCGGCCGAGCCAACGGCGCCAGCGGTCGAGCGGTCGAATCCCAGCTCAGCTGGCGCGAGGCGGCCGAGCCAATGACCGGAACTGGGCTTCGTGCGTTGGTTGGCTGGGCTGCCTCGCGTCAGCCGTACTCGATTCTTATTGGTCACTGTTTTTCGTTAATAACTCGTTAACGGTGGCTCGGAGAAAATTTTTGTAAACGAAAAAGTTGCTTCAAATGGCCTGAGCAACCCGCCACTTTCGGATTGCGAGACATTTTTGGGACACCCCCCCTGTATATACAGTATCAGACTCTGTACAGTACACATCAGACTCTGCCGTCCAGAGAAATAGCCTCGCGCAGCATTCAGCCGTACCTAAAAGGTCAAAACGAATCGCAAGACTCGAATAATTGCGCTCACGACTGTTTCCACTTTCGCCACTTTTTTCGCACACCCAGTAGAACAGATTGTCTCTGTCTCTGCATTTCTTATGCACGAAGTATTATCGATAATAAACATTTGTCGTTGAGACGAGAGACGACGTAAACATTCGTCGGTGATTTGAACGTGTCGGTATGTAAACAACGTCGGTGAATTGCGGCGTCGCTGAAGTCGCGTCGATGAAAACATTGTCGGTGAAATAATTGTGTTGGTGATTTCAAGGTAGCCCTTTCTTCGCACATTCTACGAAAATACAATATTTTCAAAGGAGAAAACGAGTCTCCCCTCGCAATACACGCGGCTACATTCCCCCAACATTCGTCTCCGTCGAATGAAACGACCATAACGAAGAAACAAACACGCGTCTGCGGCAACGCGTTCGCTTAGCGCTGGGAAAGGAATCGGTTATTCCCTCTAGAGCTGAAAAGGAAAGAACCAGCGTGTACCGGCGCGATACTTGCGCGTTAAGCACGATCTCCAGCCGGAAACTGCGAAACGCTCGAAGCCGACGAATGCAAACGCGAGGATGACGCGACGCGCGCCGTTATCGTTTCACCGGGATCTATAACGAGCGCGGGAGGCGCGTGGAGTGTCTCGGGGTTCCATTAAGTCGAATTTTCGACCTAGTGCGACGGAATACGGTCATTCAGAGGATCCCGTGGAACGAGGAGGACGCGAGGCAACGAGCGGCGACGGATCCGCGCTCGCGGCAATTAAAACGCGCTACACGGATCGGCGTGGATCCTCCGGATCCCGTGGGCTGCTCGCGAGCCGACGTGCGCGAGCGTGAACGCACACAGACCGGCCGGAAAACACGTGTACACGCGTCGAGCCGGCAGCGTGCAGGGTGTCACGTCGTTACTCGTCGTCGACGACCGGGTGAATCTCGACGTCGGCGTCTGGAAAGCGGCGAGGCGTGAGACGACGCGAGCGTAACGAACGCCTCGTCCTCGACGTCTGCCGGTCGTTTTTCTCCTTTCCTTTTTTGTTTCTACCGTCGCCCGGCCGCTCGAGAGGCACTATACTCTTCCGGAGATTTTATTTACGTGGAAATTCCAAGGGCGACGGCCAGCTGCCAGCGACGTTGCAACCTGACACGCCGGCGTCGCGACGTCGGCGAAGATTCTACCCGGCGCGACCCGTGTCCCCGTGACTGGAAAATTTCTTTCTCGCTTCCTTTCCCTTCTATCCGACCTTCCGTTTCGCTGTCCTCGGTTTCAGCGGGTCTCCGAAGCAGATTCCCAGCTCCAGATACCGTGCTCGCGGAACAAAAGTAACGCCGTGCTCGACAAGGAACGTCGCTGTTAACCCTTTGCGGTTGCACGCCGCGGGTCGGACTCGACGTTGACTATTCCACCGATAGACTATTCTGGCAATTACTTGGTATTTAACCAGTTAGCTGTGGCGTCTCCTTTTCAGGGCGCTCACCTTCATACATATTGTATGTGTCGCGCGAGAATCAAGCGATGACGAGGAGTAATGTCGAACTCGGAGTAAGTGTCGCTGTTAAAATGTTGGATCGAAAAGACGGCTTTATTTTATAAAAATGATAATTTTATTACTAATATTTACTTATTCACTTAACATCGACAAATATTATTATTATATATATTATTATATTATTTATTATTTTTGTATTATTTTTATTATTTTATATTATAATATTATTTTTGTATTATTTTTATTATTTTATATTATAATATTATTATTATATTATTTTTATTATTTTTATATTGTATTATTATTATTAATAAACGAAAAACGCCGGAGAGTTAAAATATAAGTCATAGAAGTTAAAAATTCATATTGCTGCTGTATTAGTAGTATTCGGCAAAGCAAGGACATAATGGCACTTTGCACGTCGAACACCAATATCGTGAATTGTTCATATAATTATTCATATTCTTTGTCTGTTTGATTCTGGCCTGGCCTCAGAATGTTCTAAACATCTTGTTTGAGGATATGTTTTTGTTTTCACTAAAATTACAAATCGTGACACAAAATACTGCCACTTCTCCGTGACGAGTGTATACTCGTCGAACACATCTAACTGGTTAAGAACAATCGTATCGGTATGAAACGTATGTAGTATGAAATGTCGTGTTTTTTATCCCTCGCAAATTCCAAGGAATCTTTTTGCGACTTTTTTAGAGAGGAATTTTTTATCGAGACTCTGAAAGCAAAAATGTTTACGATAATCTGGTCAACGAACTATATATATATATATATATAGAGAGAGAGAGAGAGAGAGAGAGAAAACATACTTCGATTAATAAAATATTCATTTAACCCTAAACCGACCAGCGCGCGCTTCTATTTATCGGCATAAGGGGTTGCGAGCGACTCAAAATAAAGTCTCGATAATTAAAATGTTATTTATTATTTTCGAAATATAAAGAAAATCAAAAACTATACGAAAACCCTAATGTTTTAGTACTTATTTACAAGTTTTCGGACAAATTAAACATTTTGCGAATTCACCGTCGACCCCAGAAGAGCGTTTTAAGGTTAGATTAAAAATGAAGTAATTAGTCAACCGTTCTAAATAGTTTGTAAAATGATTTATATTATAATAAGTTCTAAAATGGAAGGAAGGAAACATTCTGAACCGTCCTTGTGCGGAGTTAGGTGATGGAGCTACTGAGTAGATTGACTTCGGAATAATTTATTAATAATAATTTATTACTATAGAACGCGTTTAGTCCCGAAGTAGTGTACGTTAGCGCTTCGAATAAAGCATAAAATGGTATAAGGTTTGGAATAATTATTCTGTTTAACACGGTAATTGCCGTTAATTTGCACAGTAATTTTATTAGGATCCGTAAAACGTAAGAATGTCGAAAAGTAATTGTTAATTGTAGAAACGTGTAATCCCATTTTAAGAAAGGAAACATCGATGAAATCTCGCAAAATATATCCTTTGAAAAAAATCATATTGATAGTTTCTGGAAAAATCAATACAAACAGTGTACAAAATTGAGTTCCCATTGTTCGAATTGTATGTCTCTTGTAAAAATCTAAATTAATATACATATACGTACCACCGTTTGTCTAACAAAATAATATTTGAAATATTAACGATGCAAAGAAACAAATTAATTTGCATTATCTAGACGATTTAGTTTATCACAATTCAATGCTGAACCAAGCTCGTTTTTCACCAAGTGTTGCACAAAGGACCGATTCTGATAGAATCTTTTAGATAGAAATTTCGCTGCTCCAACCGTCGTCTCGTCGTCGTCAACATTTTTCTCTTAGTCAATTTTTCACGGAATTTGTACTTCCCGAGTCGCTATCCCGGGAAATATCTTCTAACGCTGCGAAACTAATAACGGCGATCGTCGAGCGCGAGGTTCGCACTTTCAATGCCAGCGTGAGCCCGCAGCTCGCCGATGGAAATTCTTCTGGAAATTAAAACACTTAACGCACTGGCTGTCGATCGTTTTCCAGCCGAAATTGGAATTTTCCCCGGTGCATGGAACACGCCGCGTGGAATCGAGTGTGTTTCAGCAACCCCCCGTTGCGATCCGTTTTGCAAACCTGCGTGCGGTGAACATTATAACGGGCGGTACAAAGACTGCGTATCGCGATCAATTTGTTCATATTTATTTCACGACACTTTCAGTTTCAGAAAAATATCAATACCAAAAATAAAAGATAATTTTAAATACCAGAGTTTCCCTTCCTAAATCTCGTAGCAAACTCTTTCGACTTCGAAGCTATCGACACCAAAACGAAGAGATGATCTTGAGTAGCCGAGCTTTCCTTTTATAAATCTCGTTGCAAAATTCAGAATTTAATATTTCACTAAGGTTCTTTCTCTTTAGTACCTCCACGCTCGTCGATCTACGATATTTTTCTCACGATATCGATTTTTATTACTTCGCAAGAAGTTTAATAGTTTCTGTTAGAGTTTTAGGTAGACGCGCGATGGTTTTTCTTTGAAGAAAAAAATTACGGTCTTTCATCTACGGCTCTGCTCGCAATATAAACTTTATCACCGAACGAAAATTCCGTAGGTTTTGATAAAGTTCTAGGTGCATAAGTTCGGCGCGCCACCTTGGGGATGAATAAAAGTAACTTTAGGGTTATTTGTTCGCAGTGGTGGCCCAAGCATACAAAGTCGACGTGGAAGTGATTGGGGGTGCATCGAGGGGATGCACGGCAGTGTTACGATGCGTCGTTCCCAGCTTCGTGAAAGATTTGGTGCGCGTAGTGTCCTGGTTACAGGAGCCCTCCTTTTACATTTATCCATCGCCGCAAGGAGGTAAGTTTTCTACTTTACAAACTCCCGTTTTCCCAAAACAAAAGATTACCATGTGAATCGCGTACCGCGCATTTTGCAACTTTCTAGCAAATTCATTAAACTCCTTTGTACGCAACTTACGGGAAAGCATTTTCGAGTTACACGGACAAATTTGTTCCCCCGAGTTTCCTATTCAAAAGCACCCAGCGGATTTTTGGGAACCATCTTTCAGTCTCTGTGCAACTCGGCCATGTTTCCTTATCAGAGTTTTTCCGATCATTCTAATACAATACGAAGCAAGTTCCGAAATAAAATCGCCGAGAAACAGTTGCAATTTTGTTTCGCGCCGGCGGCGCTGGGTTTTAGACGAATGTACATAACGTTGTCAAAAGACTGCGGATTTTATGCATTTCTGAGAGCACTGTGTGGATCAAATGCAAAACGGTGAAACCAGTTCAAACCAGTTTTATTTCTTAAAATAAAATCTTTTCGTTGCATACGATTTCAATATTCATGCACAAGTTTCTTGAAACAAAATCCTTTCGTCGTCTATTAATTTTCACAATTATTTTTTTTTCGTGTTTGAAATAAAGAAGAAAGTTAACCGAATAATTCATTATCTGAAATTGCAATTATTTCAAACGAATTATATTTATATTATATTTTACATTATTATATTTTTATATTATATTATATTATTTCTTACTTCCACTTCGAATAATATCTGCCGAACTCTGCTTTGATATACATCTGCACCACAACAATGTATTCTCATAATTCTCAATTAAATGGATCACAAAAATAAATCCAGCCGTATCGGGAACGTGACGCTCCAACAACACAGTATAATTTCCACAGCCCAGACCACCTCGGCAATATATACCTTAAACCCGGCACAATGCGCATCTCCACCCCCCTCCCTCCACCAAAAAAATTCTAAAGCTGTACGTCAGCCGGCAAAAAATGACGTTTTCCCGAGCCATGCTCGTCTGGCGATTCCGACCGTAAATCCGTCGCTTATCCGGGAAAGAATGCTAAATTATAATGAACGCCGTATGTGCGTATCCGCGACATTAATTTCCCGGAAGAATCGGGAGCGGAAAAAGCGGCTGGCTGTCCGAAAAATACGTGGGAAAAAAGGGGGAGAAGATAGAAGGAAAAGAAAAACGTGGCCGGCTAATAGCCACGGCCGGGCCATGGTTCGCGGCACTCGGCCACTCGAACGCTATTATTCTATATGAAAAGCGGCGCGCTATCGCGTAATCGATAATTTCGCCTATCTACCAAAATGTAATATTCCGCGCGCGGTACGAGACGGCAATAAAAGCCCAAGGGACATTGCCGGTGGGGCGCAGATGCGGTAACACGGCCGATAGGTGCGCACCGCGAAGAATTATACCGCTGGGTGCACCGGGGGTATAGTGGGAATAAGGGCGATAGGGGTGTCGGGCGGGGGCGGAGGGGCTGGCTTGAACGACGATTTTCGCGCGAAGTCGAGGGCACCGGGCGTATTATGCCCTCGCGCCATTGCTTACCGGGACTAAAATTTAATATCCGGCCACGAGCGTAGCCGCGGTGGCTACACTGAAATTTAATATCCACAATAATCTTGCATCACTTTCCGTCCAAGATGGCGCGGCTCGAGATTGTCAGGGCCGTCGGCTTCCCTCGCAGTTACCCGGCGACTCATTAATAGTCGTAGAAAATTAATTAGATTTAAGAATGTCACGCTGCGCGCTGTCCCGGCGAGGCGACGCGCCACGCCGGTGCGCGGTGTTTCGAATCGGAAAAGATGACACTTGGTAATTAAAACTGTAATGTCGTGCGCCGGATGCGCGCGCTATTAATTAGTAAGCTTAATTAGTAATCTTTTTAATTGGACGTGACGCCACGTTGTTAACGCCGTTTCGAGGATGATCCGGGGCCCGATCTTTCCGTGATCCCCGTTCTCCTCGAAAGGCGGCAGTAATTATTTTACTTCCGATCTCTTTTCCTCTCTTACTCCTTTCTATCGTTTCTCTCTCTCTCTCTCTCTCTCTCTCTCTCTCTCCCTCTCCCTCGTTCCTTCTTTTGTTCGGTCTCGATGTTTGCCTCTCCTGTACTCCTCTCGCCGCTTCGATAAATTTTATAATTGTAGCCCCGGACCGACGAGACGAACATATTCATTGTCGATAACCGGCGAAAGAGAAAAAAGAAACGGATACAGAGCTGGCTGGTTTCCAAGAGGCTATTGTCGTTCGGTTTTCGAGCGAGGAGCCGCGTACCAGCGTAACTTTTATGCGACGCTGCAAAAAGACGCCGTAAAAAGCCCGCGCGCGCCTCTCTCGACACGAAGATATTGGCGCACGTGAACCGCCGCTGTTATCGAATGGTACATAAAATTCTCTGCGTATCACTCTATTCCGTTGCCCGCCGCCTCTCGGCTCGCTTCTTGACGCGCGCCTTTATATCCTGCACTTCGGTCAGTACAATATTGTTAGAGTAGATTGGGCCGAGAAACCGGTTTCGTTCGGTTCACTCGTAAACTGCCAACTTTCCCAACGACAATTTTCATGGAATTTTACAACCTGTCTTCGACTCGCTGTTACAAGTAAAAACCAGCGAATTTACTTCTCGAAGTTAGCCGTATCATTTTTTCCCTAACGTCTCTTATCCGGGATACGTAAAACCGTAGCTTTACAGGGAATATTACGACGCTCTTGCTATGCTTGTTTGGCCTAAATTGGCCCAACTACCATTTCCGATCATCCATAACACTCGAATCTGTTCTACTTATATCATCATATATTATGCCTATAGTACTTTGTCTAGTCACAGACATATTATTATTAACACGTTGACTGCCATGCGTGTTTGCAACAAAATCTCCTACAGGCCACCCGTGCCGCTATAGGAAGCGTGCACTGTTAACACGTTCCGTGCCGAGCTTTTTTTACTCGAATCTTCACACTTTGATATTTTACTAAAACTTGATATATTACGTGCAATTATTAATTCTCGTACACATAACAACGTAACAAAAACTTATCAACGCCCATTCTTGCAGTGGAAATTGATTCTTCGGTTCTAAATTTCTTGTAAACAATTTGTTCAGTTCACTAAGTAAACATGCAAGCGTGTACCATCGATGGTACACGTGGCACGGAACGTGTTAATTCATGTCTGTCTCTGTTCCTGCATGAACAGTTGGAGTCTTTGCCGAGTACCAAATGGTATAACTTAAAATCTCTGCCCTTATTTTTTTTCAATAATGAAAAGAGAAAGGATTGTCCGGAAGGAGAAGCATAAATAAAATTATATCGTCAGATTCTGATTTGGATACTGATAAATATAAACTTAGTGATAATGAATGTTATGAAGATACTATTGACGAGATTTTACGAGAATTGGTCATGGAAGAAGAAAGAAATGTTGATGATGCCGAGGAAGCTACAGTTCAAATAAAAGATACGAAATGGACCGATCAGAGGCACGAGCATATCTGAAAAAACCAACAACTTTTTGTCCAAGCTGTCCTGATCAACCTCAACTTTGCAGAGAATGTTTGAATGTTATACACTGCGAATAATTTTTGTAATAAACCATTTTTATAAGAATTCAATAGTTTCATTACCTCTTGTAGAATATTTATCGAAATATTTTCGGAAATCCTTTGTAAGTAGTCAAATCAGCGTCACCCGAATTACGGGTGACGTGGCCTGATGAGAACTTTTGCTGTCACCCGAATACGGGTGACGCGGCAGTCAACGTGTTAAAATTGACCTTCTTTGCTCGATTCGTCCGGCTACAGACAACCCTTCTGTTAGCGACAATAGGCACTCCTCGATCTACTTTCGATCATAGTCCAGCATCCTCTTACTACAAGCTACAAGATTTTCCTAATTATGCTCGTTGAATAATTACACTGAAGATGTTTATACCAAATGAAAATGTTCATCCTTAATTGCAACAAATAACTATTAAATAAGAATTTATTCCCTTGCTTAAAACATTGAATACTTTAAGCACCAGCAATTTTCCAATAGCCCTTTCAAAGTTTAATTCCAACGGTTGACGATTGTTTAACAAATTGTTCACAAATGACAACAATTTAATTCATATTTCAACAAGTTATCCGAATCCATATAATGTAACAATTTCTTCTGAAATTGTTATTTAAAAGAATATTATTGAGCTTGTTTTTAAAGCAACTAAATAATTGAGTTTCTGATAAGTAAAGTGTTAATAGATTGAAAATAATATAACATGATTAAGAAATTCTTTTGATGTCCTTATTATTTTGCGTTTCATTTGCTCACTTTTGTTATAAATATCTAAAATTCGCAGATTAATAAAAATCGGAGTCTACCGAAACATCGACAAAATTTTTTTGGTAATCTTGTCAATCTATACTAAATAGTTACAAAGTATTCTAGTCTCACTCTGTTTATTTAAAATGTATACTCCTTGTCTGAGTTACTCGCTCTACCTATCTACCATGCAGACAACCATATTTTACAAGTCTGATCGCTAGACTGCGGATCTTTATGTAATATGTAAATTAACGACTTTCTAAGACAATTATACGAAATAGAAATAAAATGAAAACTTATTTTCTCTGTCAATAATTTTAATAAATCGAAAAGATATTGTATCGATTGTATATTAAATTGTTTATTAGAGAGCACATCATGAAATTTTACAATATTATTTTTCACACATACATTTCTGTCATAAATGCATAAAATCCGCAGTCTACCGATCACGTGTATTCTCTATTGCACTTATCCGGACATAAGTCGTTCCTATACTACTTGCCTGACTATACGTCACTTCTTCACTGTAGATTCTCCCTTCCCGACTTGTGCCACCAATTCTGGAACACCGTCTATACTCCAATTGCGTACCCATGATACACTTAATGAGACGCTAACTTTCACCCTCTTAACTGTTAAATCGTTATCAACATACACTTATTTCTACAATTTCGACGTTTCCGTCAACACGAGAAACATTCGAGTTAGCGCAGCATGTGTGACGTA